CCTCCAATGACGCATAGGTCGACTAGGATCCCGATCGTTAGAGCTGCATGGGCAGCGAGATTTGATGGGTAGGGTAAAGGGTACGTAGCATCAGTCGGCTGCTACTTTTCAGCTAACTGATCCTGATCGACGCATGCTAGTGCTTCCACAGCGTAGGGTCCCTTGTACAACACTCGAAGCAGGTGCCTGCACGGCCATACTAGTAACTTTCTACTCAAGACTGGGCTGCACTCTCTCTCATCGCTCGTTTGTTCATAGTTTACTATGTATACTCATCCATACCTTCCCCCACTGCCTCACCCGTCTCCTACCGCGACAGTGTCGACGCATCGTACTCGATCCATGTTTTCTTCCTCTCGCTCCGTGGCAGCGCGAGCACATACTCACCGCGCCACCTCGTCCTTTTTGCTATCCCTGACAGCCCGAAATTGCCAATGGGGCACGTAAATAGAGAGGAGCAGTTATTGTTCTTCTATTCTGTCTTCTCTACTTCCGAGTGATGAGGTTGTTCATGGCAGATGTAGTTTGTAGTGCTGCTGGTGGTGGTGGTGGTGGTGGTGGTGGTGGTGGTGGTGGTGGTGGTGGTGGTGGTGGTGGTGGTGGTGGTGGTGGTGGTTGTGGTGGTGGTGGTGGTGGTGGTGGTGGTGGTGGTGGGCTGCATGCCACAGCGCGAGCGACCCCATCCTTGGAGGAACGATGACAGCGAGAGGTCTGTCTTCCACGCCGTATCCAGCACCCTGTTTGGTGACAAGCAAGCAAGCACGTGGAATGTGGAGCATATGTGTATGTGTATGTGTATGTGTATGTGTATGTGTATGTGTATGTGTATGTGTATGTGTATGTGTGTGTGCCTGTCGCGTGGCAACCATCGAGCAAATAACGCCCTTTGCTTCCCATAAGTGCCCCCCCCCCCCAAACGCGACAACTGCCACAACAACTCAGTGTTGAAAAACAAAGGCAGGTCCACGTACGCCTGGTAGTATGCTGGGTTCTGGTCGATGCCTTCCATGGTGATGCCGACGCCAACGACCGCATCGCTCTGTGCAAACACGCGACGCGTGCGATCAAAGACGAGCTGGATGTCACCGTACATGCCGTTGTTCCCGCCAAAGTTGTCCATGGCGGCCCAGATGAATGTGGTGTTGAAGAACGACTGCGACCACGCCCAGATCTCGTCAAACTCCGCCTCCATATCCAAGATGACCAGGCGCCCGCGCGGTACGGCGCTGGTGAAGCCGGACATGAACGAGAACCCTTGGGCGTTGTCGAGGTCCAGCCATATCCACCCTTGGTACACCCAGATGGCGTGTGGGTCGCGCTTTGTCATGGTGGTGTACACGGCCTTGGCGCGGGCGTGTGCTGCTGCATCTGGCTGGATGTCGCGGCACTGGAGGACGTTGGTGATGAACCAGGACGTCTCGTTTGACGGCGACGGCAGCGGCGTCATGCCTGCACGCATTTCATAGTGCCCCACACTCGGATTGAAGGTGACGCCCCCACACGTCATCTCACCGGCGCACGCGGCTTTTGCAGCTGCGAGGCTGGCGAAGGCCTTGCACCCTTGGCTGCAGCCGGCAAGATATGTGTCTTGGGTGGCATTGGAAAACGTGCACGTGACACCAGCATCCGGCCACTGCTGCAGTAGCTGCTGCTGGTGCTGGTGCTGGTGCTGGTGCTGGTGCTGGTGCTGGTGCTGGTGCTGGTGCTGGTGCTGGTGCTGGTGCTGGTGCTGGTGCTGGTGCTGCTGCCGCTGTGATGGTGCGCGTGTGCGTGCGGGTGGCTGTGAGCTGGAGCCATCCACCCACGGGCCTGTGGAGTGGTCGAAGAAGCCGTCAGCCTGGTAGAAATGGGTGGCGCCAAAGTCCGCAATGAGTTCCTGCATGGTGAGGTCGGCGATGGTTGCGAAGAGCGGGTCGAGGCCGTCCAGCCACCCGTTGGAGATGTTGGCGTGCGGATACAGCTGTGCCAGCGCAGCGGGGACATTGCCCTGGAACGCAGGCAGCAGACTGCCGATACCAAGCTCTGTCTGCCGCTGTACGATTGCGCGTTGCAGCTCCCACTGCTGCTTGTACCATTGTGACGGCAGTGGCCCTCCTACGCCAGCGGCGCCCTGGCCACGCGACCACGCCAGGTACGCCGGCCCGTCAAAGAACTCGGCAAGCTGCGCCTGCGTCACGCCAAGCTTCTCATACACCTGATTGTGTATTTTGAGGTAGGGGGGGGGGGGAGGCCGGTTACGTGGGGAAAAGAGGGCTGTGTATGCTTGCAATGTGCATGCTTGCAATGTGCATGCTTGCTATGCGCGTGCGTGTGTTTGCTATGCGCGTGCGTGTGTTTGCAATGCGCGTGCGTGCGTATGCTGCCGTAGTCAGGAGTGATCTCATATCACATGAATGCGTGTGAATGTGGTGCAAGCAAAGCGTGTGCGTGTGAGCGTTTACCTTGCGGTAAACGTACTCCTGGCCCGTGTATGCGAGTGCAAGGTTGACGCCATTCATGGCCATCCAGTCAATCTCTTCTTCCCACCGCTGCCAGTCCCACCACACCTGCAGAGCGCGGCAACGGTATCACGGCAAAACAGGAGAGGAGGAAGAAAGCAGGAGGAAGGAAGAGGAGGAAGATGACGATGAGGAGGAGATACGTCATGCGCACGCCACACACGCACACTGCTGTGCAAATGCATGCGCAAACACACGCCAACGCACGCAAATGCACACACCATGGAGTAGGAGACGGTGACGACGTTCTGGTAGTATGTGTAGAAGGTAGTCTTGTTGACATGCGCGTGGTGCGAGTGGACGACCGGCATGGTGGCTGGGAGAGGATGGATCACGTCTCCGCCAGTCTTGTTCCAGGAGAAGGACATGTGCAAGTACTCGCGCAGGAAGAAGTTGAGCCCCGTCGCCATCTCCACGGGCGATGTTCCGCCGATGGTGACGACTGATGCGTTGGTGTTGCTGTTTGCCAGCTCAAAGCACAGCGTTTCATCGTGTGTGGTGTTGATCAGGTAGAACTCAAAGTGGTTGAGCGCGTCGCTGCCCAGGCGGCGTCGCACCAGTGCCTGCGCTGCACGCACGGCGTCCTTCTCAGTGAACACGGGCAGCCCACGCCGTGTGGTTGTTGATGACGCGGGATCAGCAACACCGCCACCACCAACCTCACTGGTGCCCCTGCAACAACACCCACAACAGCCCAGCACCAGCGCTACCAGCGCCACCAAGAGGTACACGACTCTTGGGCGCTGAGCTCGCACCATAACACCAGCCCCAGTCCTGTTGTTTGGATTGTAGAAATTTGTGAATAATCTTTCGCTGACGTGGCAGCTGTGCGTGTACGTAATTTCTTCCACCACCACCCAATATCATCGAAGCAAAGCAAAGCAGCAAGAGCGAGCAAGCAAGCACATTTTCTTCCTGTTCTCATCGACAAGCCAACGCAGAACAATGGGTGATCAAGACTGGGCTCCTGTGGTTATTCGCAAGAAGAAGCCAAATGCATCCCAGGCCCGCAGCAAGCAGGTGTGTTTCTGTTTGTTTGTGCGTGTGTGTGTGTGTGAGAGTGTGTATGTATGTTTGTGTGTGTGTGTGTGTGTGTGCATCTGTGTCTGTGAGTGTATGTTTTTGTGTGTGTGTGTGTGCTTGTGTGTGTGTGTGTGTGCATCTGTGCCTTTGTGTCTTTGTGTCTTTGTGTGTCTGCGTTTGTGATGCATGTTAGACGCTCTTGTCCACTTCTTGCTACAAGCCTTCTCACTGCTGTTGTCGCGCTTGCATGTGTAGGCCGTGAACGCGGCACTGCGGTCTGGTGCTGGCGTGTCGACACAGAAGAAGTGTAAGCAACTGGGAGCAAGCTCTATGTGTGTGTGTGTGTGAAGGAGAGGCGCTTGGATGAGTTGCAAGGTGTGTATGCTGTATTTTTCTCACCTCGCCTGCGTCCTGTCGTGTTGCTTTTTGTTCGACTGCATCTTCTTCGTTGTCAGATGGTGCGGGCGGTAACAAGCAGAAGTCGACCGACAAGAACACGGCGGTACTCGACGCCGAAACAGAGAAGCTCGCACGTACGTTTGCCTTCTTTCCGCGCTCCGTGTCCTTGCATATATGTGTGTGTGTGTGTGTGTGTCGGTTGATGAAAACGCTGCCGTTCATCTCGTGTCTCGCAATCACATCATTGCAACACCACCCGTTATGCCACAAAATACACACACACACACGCACACACACACACACACACGCACACACACACACACACAACAGACAAGAAGGTGCCGCTGCAGGTTGGACAGACGATCATGAAGGCGCGAAACGACAAGGGCCTGAACCGTAAGGACTTTGCCACGAAGATCAACGAGAAGCCTGCTGTTGTGCAAGACTACGAGACAGGCAAGGCCATCCCGAACCAGCAGACGCTGAGCAAGATGGAGCGGGTGCTTGGTGTGAAGCTGCGCGGCAAGAACATTGGCGAGCCGCTTCCTCCCCGCGGCTCCAAGGCCAAGAAGAAGTAAACCCGCTGACATTGATTGGCCTTTGTGTCACCCTCTCACCCCAACTACCGCGTCCCAACGCACACGCGGTTGCTGTTATTGGTGTGAATCTGTTTCTCACCCCCCCCCAACACACACACACACACACACTGTTATGTGAGGGCTGACTATCACCCATCACAGCCACTTCATCGCTTGAATGTTTGTGAATGTGTCTACCGAACAGCTTACGTCGCACGTCTGTGTATGATTCTTGTGGTGTGTATTGCAACTTGGTATTGCAACTTGGTGCTGCCATGTATCCCCCACGTACAACGTATCAAGCTCGCACATGTATACCGTACAATCGTGCACAGTTCGTTTGTGCAATGCCAACAGGGGGGGGGGGAGGGGTTGCTAAGGTGCGACACACACACACACACACACACACACACACACACACACACATACAACAACACAACACAATACTCAGAGATACAAGCATGCATTGCTGGCTAGTCCTGTAACATGTCACAGCGTTGAACTGGAGCGAGCCGGGCTTAAAAAGTGCGCAGGGAGTGCGCCGACATGCCACACGCCACACTATTGGGTTGCTGGCGGCGGTGGTGTTGTGGCAGGGAATATGTCTGGTGTTGACCAGAGTTGCGGCGGCTGCCAGTTTGGGTCGGGCTCTACTGCTATCCCGCCAGGCGGTGGTGCACTCGAAGAAGATGATGAGGATGATGATGATGATGGCGACGCGGACCGTCGCTGGGGTTTGGATGGCGTGGGAGGGAGGGAGGGGGGAGGGAATGGCAGAGCGTGAGACATGGGAGCGGCAGGGAGATGCAAGCAAACACAGATGTGGAGAAAGACGATCAAGAAGACAGGCAGGAAGAATTCGAGATGGACAGAGGGGCAGGAACATCTGACACATACGGACACAGATAGGCAGGCACACACAGAAAAACCACACAGGCGTACACAGACACACACACACACACAGACACACACACACACACACACAGACACAGACACAGACACACACACACAGACACACACGCACACACACACACACATACACACACACACACACACGCACACACACAGAACCGCATACCCCGAGAAAGCCTGCACGAAGAGACCGGAACATGCCAGTGACGACCGAGGTGCTCTTTGGCTTCTTGTCTACCGCGTTCAGTTCAGCCTCAACATCCTGCATTCTACCCCGAACAATGTTCACCACAGCCTATGCGTGCAAGCGCGTGCGTGCGTGAGCAAGAAGGACACACGAGTACAGACCCTCCATAGTACGCCATCCATCCTGCTATCCCTTCAACAACACATACAGCCACACACCCACACACGCACAAGCACAAGCACAAGCACAAGCGCAAGCACAAGCACAAGCACAAGCACAAGCACAAGCACAAGCACACACACACCCATACACACACAGCCACACACCCACATACGCACAAGCACAATTGTAACACACTTCAATCTGATCAATCTTGTGGAACAGCTCCACAAGCCGGTCGCAATTGGCCTTGAGCATGGGCAGGGTTGCTGTCTCCATCTCTTGTCGTTCCATTGTCAACTGTCGTCGGATGACACGCAACCACAAGGGCATGCACAGCTGCGTCAGTTCACGACCAACGAGGCGCGTTGAATACAAACACAAACAAAGCACAAGCACGCAAGGCACAAGCACCCAAAGCACAAGCACTGCACAGGGGCTTACGGCTTGCAGTAGGCCGCCATAGGCATCGATGCGAGCAAGGAGCTGGTCTGCACTCTCTGTGATGTCACCCAAGTCCTTGTCACTCGTCGGGGTCCTGGCATCCACGCACGCCGCACACGCCCGCGCCATCCCGTCAACATCCACCACCACTGCCGCAGCCGTTGTGTCGCGTTGTTGGTCGGCCATTATATCCATGTACGCGCTCCGACACGACAAAGAGTAGCGGATATGGCTGATCGTTCGGCGATGCGAGCTCGCCTTGCTGAGCTGAAGAAGAAGAGGGAGCAAGGCAGGCGTGACACGCAGGAGCAGGTGGCAGAGGAGGACAGGCGCGCAAAGCTGCCGAAGAACTACGAAGCACGCAAAGCCCGCGCAGAGTGGAAACTGGAGGATGATCGCAAGCGCAAGGTGCATTATTTGTGTGTGTGTGATGATTGTGTCTCTATTTGAGTGTGAGTATGAGAGAGGGCGTGCGAATGTACGTCAACATTGGCACGCGTGCGTCCTCCTTGCGTGCATGGTGTTGACGCGTGTCCGCTGCTTACCTTTGTAACGTCCTCCTGTCCTCTTGGCACAGGAAGCGGAGGAGAAAGGACTGGACTACGATCGCGTGCGTGCCATGAGCATGACCGTGGAGGACGCAAAACAGTTCTCAAAGAAGCGCTCCAAGAAGCCAAACATGGCTGCTGAACGCATCGCCACAAAGGCCGAAAGTACGTCGCACAGTATGTCTGTCTGTCTGTTTGTGTATGTGTATGTGTATGTGTATGTGTGTGTATGTGTGTGTGTGTGTCTGAATCCGATTCTGTTTGTGTTCGTCCATCTGTGTGTGTTTTTGGTGGACCCATCTCTGCAATTGTATTGCACTCATGATAGCGCAGCCCCTGTGTCGGTGTGCCTTTGCGTGTGCTCACTGCTTTACTGCCCGTGTTTGCTGCTTCACAGACTCGAGGCGGCAATATGAGCGCTTGACAAAGCAGCTGAAGCCGACAGTGTCGGAAGACGTTGCCACAGAGGAGGCCGATGAGCTTGAGCCCTTCAAGAAACCGCGCAAGGAGGCCGTTGACGCACTGGTCACCGATGTCGAGGCACAGTACGTTCAAGCAGCACCTTCGCACTGTGTGTGTCTGTGTCTGTGTGTGTGTCTGTGTGTGTGTGCGCGCGCGCGTCGGTCTGTGTGTGTGTGTGTGTGTGTGTGCATCGGTGTGTGCGTGTGGCTCCTCTCTATCTGCTTCGACACGTGCTCGCGTGAATGGATCAGCTGTGCCCCATCGTGTCCAACGCTCACAATGAATGCCGCCGCGTGCATGCTTTATCAACTTTCTTCAGAATCGAGAAGAAGAAGAAGTTCAGGAGGCGGCGTGCAGTGTACAAGCACGGTGACATCGACTACATCAACGAAAAGTGCGTCCCGCGTGCCATGCGTGCTATCTCGCGATTTGTTGATGTGACCTGATACATCCTGTTCGTTCTGTGCACACACCTGCTTCACACGCACAAAGCCGCATGCATACACCACATACTCGAACGCACTTGCTCTCCCTCCCATACATATTCTGACGCATATGTACAATCACGCCCTTGCTCTCCCTCCCTCCGTTTCCCTCTCGCTTTCTCGTGTGTGTGTGTGTGTGTGCAGGAACCGCGTGTACAACGAAAAGTTGGAGAAGTACTACGGGAAATACAGCAAAGACATCAAGGACAGCTTCGAACGCGGCACAGCCCTGTAGCCTCGTTTGTGTGTGTGTGTGTGTGTGTGTGTGTGTGTGTG